CTCATCGTCTGATTTTTTTGAGTTACTACAAACAATACGTGATGACTCAGTATACAATAGCTCAATAATTTTTTCATTTTGCTCCAATAAACCCATAATATCAGGTTTTTTTCCCATCCACTCTCCAATTATTCTTAGATTTCTTCGAGCTTTACTTGTTATACTTTGACATTTCGCTGTATTTAGACAAATAGCACCATTCGGAAGATCACTCAAACTTGTTCGAAGTAAAGGAATTATAACATCTGCAATGTATGTCTCTTCACTCTGCTCACTGTGGGATATACTGGTCATAAATGCAGAATTGCTTCATATTTCACTACTGATAAAGAAAGCGTGATTAATACAGTAATGTTTCATCAATTTTCAAATAAGCAAGCAACTTACATTATGCCTAGAATACGTTCTGTTATTTTTACTAAATCTGTCTCACTTTCTTTCCATTTTTTATTGTGAAGTATATTCTTCATAGATCCTGCATTCTTCGTATTATTGAAAACTTTCACAAAATTAATATACTTAGCGACAACTGAATCAGGTAGGACACATTTCATTTTTTCTCGAAGTTCCATAAAGATGTTTTTTTGACTACTTCCCAAGTTTTTCACGATGTCTGAATTATCACTTAAAACTATACTTGCTTCAAGGTCTCGCCATGTGAGATCTGAAGATTCTATACCTGCTAAACTTTGTTTAAGTAAACCATAAAGGTTTATGTCCACTTCTGTTATAGGATGCTAAACACAAAAGCTTGTTAGTTTTAAACATAAAAAATCTTCAAACGGCATAGTAGTTACCTTGAGTTTAGATTTTAACTTATTAAGATTTTCTTCTATTTCTTCTTGAGTATAGTCGAGAGGTAATTCTCTATCCATATTCAATACTTTTAATGCTTTTAGCCCGCGAATACTGATATATCCACTCTTCACCTACAGTAGATGTAATAAAAAAGTACCAGTACATTATTCCCATTTTAAATTCATGAATTATAATTTCTACCACATGTGTGTTTTCAGGATTTTTTTATAAAGACATATCGTCATTATTTTGGCTGAATAGTTACGCACAGTAAAGAGAAGCAGAAACCTCAACATCCTAAGATATTGATCTTCTAGGCTGGCACTTCCTGACCTTCAGCTATGACATACCAAAACTAAAGCCAACATCTACTATAGCGTCATCATTAAAATAAGAAATAGAAATAAAAAATCTTATCTATGCTATACCTACAGTAATATTTTTAATACCTTAATTCTTTGACCAAGATCTGTTAACTTCACTAATGATGAATTGACCGCTCAGTCAACTATTTCATGTACTTTATCATATGGAGGTAGAATATTATCCTCTATTGTTAAATAAATTACAGACACTACATAAAGAGTTTCAAATGATTCCTGCAATAAAAGAGCTTCAACCTTGGCTACTAAATTCGATATAGTAAATAATATTAATAAAAATGTATGTTATAATGTGAAGTTTTCAATGACCTAAACATAAATTTTCTATACTGTCCTTTTAAATGACACCATTTCTCACATTCTCTTCATGTTGAGGAAAAAAGAGATAGGAGAAATATGTGAGACACTTTACGTTAAAATTTTGTGTTAGAGAATAAGAACATGTGGAATGTGCATTGAAGATCTCAATATTTACAAAGGCGCTAGGGATAT